TAAACACATGCTGTGAAAAAAACCTTACCTGCCATTAGTTACCCTCATATGCTTCCCAGCCACTTTCCCACAATTTACCAGCCCTAGAAGCCCAGTGCTTTCCTTGGTCTAGTTATTCCTCCACAATTTATTGCCTTTTGTTAAAATGGTATATAAGCCCCTGAATCTAACCACTTCTTTGGAGATTTTCAGGGTTTTTTCCCTCCTGAATCCCCCAAGCATGTGAAATTAAAAATATTAACATCAATCCAATTTATAAACTTTTTTCTAGTAACCTGTCTATTGTTAGTTTAATTCGTGGGTCCCAAAGAAAATAGAGGAAAATCCCTCTAGAATACCCAGACTACAAAAGAAATATGTACTAAAGTTTTTCAAGGACAAATTACCAATATACATTTACCAATGTTGTTTCTCAAACACAGTGAGGGGGTGGTTAAATGAGTTGTAAACAATAAATCATCTCCAGCATGCTAATTCCCCAAGCCTTTGCATTCCCCCCTCCACATTATTGCAATGAATTTCTAACATATATTTAAATTGAATTTAGGCTACCAATGATTCCAGGTTTTCATTAAGCAACTGACAAGTCATCAAAGCTATTCCTCACTGTTGAAATAGGTCCTCAAATTAAGAATTTCTGGGAAGTCACCAATATTAATGATTTTAGTAAATATAAAGTTATGTTTCTTCCTGCTTTGGTTAGCACCCTTGGACTCTATTCCTACACATTTCTACAAGTAAAAATTAGCCAAATTCTATAAATCTAAACTATCTCCTCTCAGGCATGCTGTGATCTAATTCTCTTTACAGATCTGATGACATTGTAAGAGTAGAAGGCAAGTAAGGAAGATCAGCATCCTATCGGAAGGTATAACAACTTCCATGAGTGAAGTCATTACAGGACCTCAAGCAGCAAAGAACTAATGTCATCTAACAGGGAAGGAGGGCTGCTTTTCCTGGCCAGGGATGTTCAATGAAATTTCAGATTCAGGTTCTCGGATTCATTCCAAATCTACCTAGATGTCCCCATTCCAATTCTTTGGATCCCACCCTTTTCCAAAGAATAGCGCAATTTTCACTTAGGAAACCATTGAGGCTGTGAAGTTATAATTTTGCAACATACTTTGGCTCGAACTCTGGATCTTGTTTTAAGACATTTCAGATCTGTAGCTAGAAGATATAAGAGGGCCTCTTAGGATAGCCAAGAATTTCAATCATGAGTTAATATTGTTTCTTTAAGCTCTGCAGGGCAATCAGAAGTACCCATCTCACTCAAGTCTTGATCTTACTTATTTCCATCACAACATTACCATTCAGCAGCCACTTGTTCTAACCTTTAGTTAGGTTCAAAGCTACCATAGTTCCCCTTATCCATAACCTCACTTTCAGCAGTCTCAGTTAACAGTTGTCAACCATGTTCCAAAAATATTAAGTGAAAAATTCCAGAAATAAACAATTGATAAATTTTAAATTACTCACCATTCTGAATAGCATCATGAAATCTTGCACTGTCTCACTCCTTCCTTTCCTGAACGTGAATCATCCTTTTGTCCAATGTCTTCACACTGTACACATTTTATTCACTTAGTAGCATCTCTGTTATGCAGTCCGTTGCCATGGTATCTGAGTGCTTGTGTTCAGCTAATCCTTATTTTACTTAATAACCCCAAAGTGCAAGAGTAGTGATGCTGGCAATTCAAATATGCCGAAGAGAAGTCATAAAGTATTTCATTTAAGTAAAAGGGTGAAAGTTCTTGACTTCAGGGGAGAACAAATCATGCTGAAGTTGCTGAGATCTAACAAGTCTTCTATCAGTGAAAATAAGAAGGAAAAATAAATTCATGCTGGTTTTGTTGTTGCACCTCCAACTGCAAAAGTTATAGCCACCGTGCATGATAAGAACTTAGTTACAATGGAAAATGCAGCTGAAATCAGTTTGGCTCAGTGGATAGAGCATCGGCCTGTGGACTGAAAGGTCCCAGGTTCGATTCCGGCAAGGGCATGTACTTTGGTTGCGGGCACATCCCCAGTAGGGGGTGTGCAAGAGGCAGCTGATTCTCTCTCATAGGTGTTTCTAACTCTCTATCCTTCTCTCTTCCTCTGTAAAAAATCAATGAAATATATTTTTAAAAAATAATGGAAAAGGCATTAATTTGTGAGTGGAGGATGAACAAAGATGGGTTCCTATTGATGGCAACGTGTTGAGCAAGAATGCATTGAGCTAATAGGAAGACTTCAGCAAGGAATCCCCTGAAAGTGATACCCAGCTATTTATTGCCATATTGCCAGTAAGGAATGGCAATGGTTACAGGGATTCAGGAATAGGATTGGACTGCAAAATATAAAAATTATTGGAGAGAACATTCATGTAACTTAAATTTTATTACAGTAAATTGTTATAATGGTTCTATTTTATTATTATTGTTGTTAATCTCTTGTGGTGCCTAATTTATAAATTAAACTTTGTCAAAGGCCTGTATGCATAGGACAAAATAGTCTGTAGAAGGTTTGGTACTGTCTGTGGTTTCATGCATTTACTGGGATTCTTAGACCACATCCCCTGCCAATTAGGAGGAACTACTATATTCCATTCTAGGTTACCGTAGGTGAAAATCCTGTGTGGAAAACAGTATCACATTTCTCACATGTGATGAAATAAATTATCACTCAACTAGGTCAAATACCCAATTCCATAGTATTATCTTTGCTAGTCTATTTCCTGATCAAATTTTAGTGAGTACTTAGTGAGGTATGGTTCACCACATAAAATAGATATCACTCAAGGTATTTCAAGAAGAAAGAGCTTTCAGCAAAGAATTGTATGCTTATAAGATTATGGTAACTTGGAAGAATGAAAGACAGAAGTCACTCCTAGTCTTTGACTTCAAATTCATATGACCACATCTGCCATGATTGCCATTACCATGACCACTGACTGCATTCACAAAATTGTGTCAAGATAGTGGAGCATGTAGTTCAGTTGCTAACCCTTATATCAAGAATTTCAAAGATGAGTTAATATTGTGTATATAATTACTATATAATCTAATCACATTATATAAGAGGATCGCACCTACCTCCCTGTCTTCCAAAATTTTCTTAAGTGCCTCAGACTGACAGAACCCAGATTTGTGAGAGAATTGTCATTTTTAGTCCTCCAGATACTGTAATACTAGGGAGGGAAGGAGAATGTATAAAAGAGATTGAGATTGGATTTGTAGAGCCAACAAGTATCTAGCACACTAACCCACAGAGAGTTTTCTGAAGTGGTTAATATTTAGGGTAGACTCTAGGTTGTGAACTCCAAATCTCACTCTGAAGGTTTTAGAAATTTATTCCCCAAATTCATCTGGCTGCTCTTTTGTCTCACGAGCTCTCATAAGCCTTTTCTATCTGGAAAAAAAAAAACACAACAAAAAACCAGACACCACTGTTGCAAGTATGTAACAATGTCAATAATAATTCAAGCATAATGAGAACACTTAAATGTGATGAATAAAAACAGCTTTATTGAGCAGTTATTTATTCTTTTGTGACTATATAACATCTTTATTAAATTTTCAGAGAACTGAATTCAGAAAATATTTGAAATCCAACTCTATGTGTATAGATAATAAACACCAACTATATACATGCTTATTAAAATGTAAATGCTGAATTTGATTCCAGATTTATTAATCAGAACACAAGCCACATTCAAAGGTGAGGTGTGAATGTCACATAATGCTCCTACCAGGCAAGATTCATAATCTACCCACCCTCTCATTACCAAATAGGTAGGCAATCACTGTTCTTGAAAGACTGGTTCTAGGATAGCTCCTCACAGGGAGGAGAAACTCGGTTAAATATAATGCATCAGGGATGACAAAGGAATTTCAACTGGATGTTTCCTTTTTCCCCATGGACAAAATTTAAAACTCATAAAAAGAGCAAACTAACTGGCTTCTCTAAAATAACAAAAAAAGGGTTTCAGAGACACCTGGGACCGATAGAGTATACGAACTGGGCATATGGACTGACAAAATACTCTTAACTCTCAGTAGTTAAAAATACATATGGAGTGAAAAAATACTCTTTTAATTCTTGTAGTTTAATTAGGAAATACCCAATAATTCCAATTCTATCTCTTCAGAAATGGCTGAATTATTTAAACCTTCCAAGGTTTTTCACTTAAGAATGGCTTTTAATTTGGACATCGTTTCTATGTACATGTTCAATTACAATGTGACCTTCTGACAGCTTCATTGGATTATTATAATTAGGTAGATAGGTATCAGGTGATATGTTTCAGCATGTATTTATTCTCAAAGGAAATACTTTAAGGACACATTCCCCTGGGACAACCTCACCAATCAGAATGGGAAAAATAAAATTCTAGTTGAATTTCTATTTAAGAACAGATGGATCTCAAAGGAATGAAGGTATGAAAGAACATTTGTTTACATGTAGACATGTATTCATGGCTTTGTGTGGTAAAATGAAAAAGACGAAGGAAGAAATAAAAGACCTAAGATCTGGGCTGTTTTTTGTTTGTTTGTTTTTTAACTAGGAGGAAAAAGTATAATTTCTCAAATGATACAGCAAAAGCTAGACCTGAAAGCTTAGAAGAGCTCCAAGGGGTAATGAAGATTATCCCTGTTAACCATCTAAGAATGGCTTTAACCACCTTCTTCAATTGGTCACAACGCTCTTTGGTGATTTATTCTAGAATCCATCTTCATATGGTAGTGGTTCTATATGTCAATGATAATTTTTAATTTAGATTTTTGAATTCTTCAGGAACATAGAGTTATGTTACATCCTACTATTTTTAAAACTTTAAAAAATAATAAAATTAAAATGTTACATCATATGTGCCTTCCTTTCATGTTTATATTAGGAAAACCAACCTTTAATATGTGCCTTCCCTTCATATTTATATTAGGAAAACCAACTTCAAATACTTGCATGATTTGTAGAGTTTGAAAACAAGAAATCTGTTTCTATTTCTCATCCTTTTCACAATTCTACTTCTGGTTTAGATATCATCTGCCTAAAATACCTAAGATTAGCCCTAGCCAGTTTGGCTCAGTGCGTTGAGCATTGGCCTGTGAATTGAAAGGTCCCTGGCTCAATTCTGGTCAAGGGCACATGCCTGGGTTGTGGGCTCCATCCTCAGTGGGGGACTTGCAAGAGGTAGCCAGACCACCATGATTCTCTCTCATTATGGGTGTTTCTATCTCTTTCTCCCGCTTCCTTCTTTTCTGAAATCAATAAAAGTATATTTAAAATAAATAATAAATAAATAAATAAAATGAAATACCTAAGATTAAACATGGGTTCCAAAATAAAGGACTTGTTCCCCAAGGTTGCTGCATCAAAACTGCTTACTTGCAGAGTGGTAGGTGACCGATCTCAGTACTCAGGTTTTATGGCCACTGCTAAGATGCTGAGCTCCTGTGTATGAGCTCAGCATCATGGCGTCTAACTCTGCAGACCTATCGACCATGCAGCAGGATCCAAAGTCTAAATCCCCCTTGTCTGTACTGAGCACCCACTTTATATCCCATACATCTACAGGCATCTTTTTCTCCATGGGGACTGCTGTGAATGCAGTTGGCTGGGATTAAGCTATGAAGAGGAAAGAGCCAAGAGCGTACAGCTCAGCTTGATGTAACATTTCAATGAAGGTTAAAGTTCAGTGCCAACAGTCAATACACAATATCTAAATCGTCATTTTATGAAATGGGTAGGACATCAAAAAACATTTCCACTTCTAGGTTCTTTCTTATTTATAGGGAAACTGAGCTGCATATATGAAATAAACTTGTAAATTAAAATATTCCCAATAAACTATAAAATATGGCAAGATTCCATGTTCTAAAATGTGATATAATAATCCATGTTCTAAAATGCGAATTCTATATAATAAAGAGGGAATGTGCTAATTGACCCTCACACCATCGCAAAGATGGCAATGCCCATGGCCAATAAGAAGGTAATATGATAATTGACTGCCCTGCCCTCAAAGATGGTGGTGCCCTCAGCCACAAGATGGCAGCGCCCAGTTCCCTCAGCCCCCCAGGGCAGGACCAAGGCACAGGCAAGCCTTAGATGGTAGCTGCCCAACTGCCCAGGGATGCCTAAGGCTCAGGTAACCAGGGCCGGCCAAGGCTTGCACTGCCGGCAGTGGCAGCAGTAGAGGTGTGATGGGTGCATTACCTTCCCCTGATCACCAGGTCGCCTCCCACACTTGAGGGCTCCCAGACTATGAGAGGGGGCAGGCTGGACTGAGTGAATTTTCATGCACTGGGCCTCTAGTATAATAATCCATTTTGAAAGCCAAAGAGTGTGTGTAAAGAAAGAAAGAGAGAATGACTAAATTAAAAATGCTAATACTGAAATTAGTCATCAGTCAGTGTCCATCAACAAAACAGAGTCAAGAGTAACATAGAAAAGGGAAAAAAGAAGAGCTATAGTCATCGACTGTATTGGAAAATGCACTGCCATGTGCTTCAGGTATTTCTTCTCATTAAAATTTTTTAATGAAGTTCCTGCTTTCTATGTAAGAAAACATTTCTGTAGTTAGAGACAAAGTTTTACCAAAAATAGGATGCAATCCTCCTTCAATGACTTAGGTATGAAGCATGCACCTTAGTCTAATGGTAGAGATATTATGAAAGCAACAAGAAAAGGTTATATTTATAACATCTTAAAATCATCTATGATAAGGTACAGTGAGAGCTAAATGATTTACAAATAAAGACACAAGAGCCCTCCCCCCACCCTACCCACTTTAATTTTGGCACAAAAAGAAGTGCACAGAATTTAAAAGTGTTAAAGCTTACAATTGAAATGACAAATGTAAGACTAATTTAGAAGAAAATACGTTTTGTGTCTGGATCCAAAAGCAACTAATTTTTAAAGTAAAACTATGCTATCATAATTTTTTAATCAGAAATTATAGACATCCAAGTTCTAATTTCATTTATTTTCTGCATTAGAAATTGGCAGAATTTAGAACAACTGAATTGAAGAAACACCAATGTAGTAGACAGTTTACCTTATAATAAACTGATTAACAAAATGTCAGTTTTCCCACAGCAGTAGTATATTTATTGTGCTGAAATCAGGTAGCAGGGAACGAATAGCTCTGGGGAACCAGTACAGAATGTTCACAAAGATTTACAAATCTCTAGTCATTACACACTGAGCAGCAAAAACACAGGTGCTGAATCCTCTTAGACCAAACTGCTATATTTCCTATAATTTTTTTGCAAATTTCCTATAATTTTTTTTCATGACTGCATACCTTTTGGGGGAAAAGTGTGTAATTTTAATGCACAATAAATATTTTATAGTTTACAAATATTCTGAAGTAGTTGGTCTGCACAAACAGCATACAACCTGCACATGCAGTTTTGACATCTTGAGATACTTAGAAAGATTCATTTTCTCTTCCCATAATGATTCCTGTGCAACACCCCTAACAATTTGACCTATGTAATAAAGACACTGTACAACTTCTCTTTCTTAGTGAATTTCCAGTTGTTCACTTATATTACATGAAATACTTCATTTGTAAACAGCAAATTTAACTTTCTAGTTCTGACTACTCTCATTTTTATTCATTTTGTGTCTTAACAATTAACACCTTGTGACAATCAAGCACTGAATTTAATGATTTTTTAGCACCAAGGAGTCATGAATATTGCACCAAAATGGGTTTACACTTCATATCCTATCTAATAAAAGGGTAATATGCAAATTAACTGCCCCTCCATCATAAAGATGGCAGTGCCCATAGCCGCAAGACGGCAACGCTCAGTCCTCTCAGCCCTGCCAGAGTCCCCTAGTCCCAGGGGAGGGGGAGCGGCCGCTGAGAGCGGGCAGTGTGAGCAGCCTGGTGGAATACCTGCCTGGCCACAGATGGGTCTCTGGGCAGGGGGCGTGGACTGGCCAAGCCTTGCAGAGAGCTACTGGTGCAAGGATTTGTGTGCAGGGCTACTAGTCTAGTTAATAAATAAGATCTTGCAAATCTGTCACAAAAAAAATATCACTCCAAAATTAGACACATTAAAAGAGAAGAATAGTTTCACAGAAAAATTTGGAGTATGCCCATTTGTAAAAAAAAAAAAAAAAAAATACTCGTGGACTAGATAGTTAATATTAAGATCTACAATAGAGGACTCCTTGATTTTTTTAAATTAAAATTTATTTAATTTTAAATGTTCTTTCCAACAGAAGAGGTAGGTATATTTCCACATATGAAAAATCGGTTAACAGCCGCAAATCAAAACATTAGAAGTCTGGTAAAAATCAACATACTGTCTCCTAACAGCACATTAATGTAACTATTTATGATGTCACCAATAAAGACATGAGTTGTTTCACATTCCAATCAGACAATAATCTTAATTTTCATAATGTATTTCTGATAGTCATAGAATTATCAAAAGGCTGCCTTTTCACAAAAACTGTTTCCCACAGTGATTTGTGCCACAAGTCATGATGACCCTCTAGGTCGCCAGACAGGATTTTACTGTAATTCTTTCTTATTTTCACCGACACCATCATCATCAACCCTCTAAAAGTCTACAGAGATCATCAGATTTTAATTATAACCAAAAAGGTATATTCAAACCAGAGGTGGAGAGATTCGATCATTCCAGTCAGCAAATTCAAATGTGCAAATTTTAAAGTATCTGCATTTCTAGCTTTGGACCAGCAAATGTAAAGTAACTGATTTAATCAGTAGGCAATTAGTAATTTAGTCATACACACACAAAAAAAACCTCAAAAAGACTGTGTTTCTGTGATCATCAGACTGAAGAATGACTGCATATAAGATACATGAGAAATTTCATGCAGTAAACAAACGATGTGAACAGAGGGAGAACCTCCAAAGTCACATAACAATTGCTTTGGTCTGGACATGAAAGCTAATTAAAAAAAAAAAAAAAAAGTTTAAAATAAAAACGTCATAAATAAAACATCTGGGTATCATAGTTAACACTTTACTCAATCTAAAGGTCACTAATACACAGGAGCACATTTGCCATTTTTCTCCCCACCCCAATCCCTCATTTGCTTGTTTTCCCTAAAATTTTATCTGAAATGGGAGCTTCTTCACTGTCAACAACAGTTAAGACCTAGTTCAATTTACTCTCCTTTTGCTTTTCCATTTTTCTGGGTTTTTCCATTCTCTACCACCAGTTTTTCTGATTTGCTCACACCATTGGCTGAAATACCATTCACAGCTGTTTTTCCAGTGCTTGATTTTTTAGGCTCATTGTATGTCCGAATGTAGAAGTTGAGGAAGAGAAATATGAAGCTGATTGTGTAGGCAATCAGAGCCCAGTGCATCCACTTCGGGAAGGGGCAATCCGTGTAAAGAGACATTGCTGTGTGTCCAATGGTCACAAAGAACTGAACCTGGAAAACAGAAGCAAATGCATAGCAAATAACTTCGGAATCTACTAGATAGCTAAGACAGGCCCAAATTCTGCCACCTTATCCAAAGTTTAATAGTTCTCTGGCTCTTGCTCATTTAGGTAGCTGCGCAAATGCCGTCTCCTCAGTAAGGCTTCCTGATGACTAGAACTGAAGTGCCTCCACCCAACTGGCCATTTCAATCCCATTCACCAAAGGGTTTTTGTTTTGTGTGGGTTTTTTCCTTGATAAGAATGATAGCTATTTAAAATTGACTTCTGGATCACCCATCTTTCCACTAGTATATAATTCCAAAGGGCAGGACACTGTTTTTGCTACGATGATTCCTGAGTCTTTGGCACAGTATCTAGACTCAATGAATATCTGTTGGAAAATAATCCTATATAATAAAAGTGCAGTATGCAAATTGTCCCCTCAACAGGGAGTTCTGGGAGATCGATCAGGGCGTGGGGGCCAGCCAGGGGAAGGAAGGGAAGTCCTGGCAGCCACTATGGACCCTACGAGTGCACCAATTTCATGCACTGAGCCTCTAGTGAATAATATTATCTAATGAGAGAGAATATCAAGGGCCTAAGAGAGTAAAGTAATAGTATTGAAGGCTCTTCAATTTTTGTGTTGTTCCCACATTTTAGACTGCTTTCTTTCCACAAAATTGTCAGCAAGTTGATATCTATAGTTTTAAAATGAACTTCTTACAAAATAGCAGACAAATAATAGGCATTTGAATTAACACTATTCTTTAAAAGCTAAGATCTTTGGTAAAATTTAGCAGGTAGTTGAAAATAGTGCAAAAAGAGAGAATCACTTTCAACTTGAAGAGATTTTAAAAGGAGAAAAGCCAAAATAAGGTTGCTTTTAATTAAGATGAGGCAAATCAGCTTAAATTCTAATATATTAATAAATGAAAGGTTCTCAAAAATTATGAATTCATGGTGTTAACCAGTGTTATGTTTTTACAAGATTAACCTACATGATTATCTGTTGTAAGAACTGGAAATACACTACCCTTCATAATTTAATATCCTATTTGGAATGGACTTTTGCAGTTTCTCTTTAAGGATAGCATTATCAGTATTATTATATTAAATATTATTAAAATAATTTATTCCAGGTCAATCCCAAATTTATATTTACATAAACTACTTAAAATTTTTTTCCATGGCAAGTCCAGATTTTATGAACTTTTGATTTCACAATGGTTCTTGGAACTGGCATCACCGAAAAAGGGTGTGTCTGTGGGTGTGATTGAGTATGGCATCGCTAAAGGAGAGTCAGATGCAGGCTCCAACAAAATAGGTATCAATAGTTCATGTGATTTTTGTAATCTCTTCATTTTCTTGGGACCACTCACTAATTACTAAGAGAAATAAATTACACAAACTGTATAAACAGCTTGCACAAAAACTAAAGGAAGCTTCCTGTAGCATTTTAATTACAAATGAATCCTTCACACCCAGCATTCCCCAAAAGTTGTGTTTCCTGTTTGGTTAGCCAGCTGTTTGGCAACTTAAAGCAGAGATGGATAATATTTCCAAATGTGATTTCACTGATAAAATTGTGTGCATGCTATGATTAAAGCAAATTATAATAAATTCCAAGGCTTGAACATACTACCAGTTGGTCTGGGTTTCCAGTTTCATTACTGAGCTAGTGTCCAGCTCTGAATGTTACACTGAAGCACCCAAATGCCATATGAAGCCGTACTGGGGTATGTGCTGAAAACGGGTCTGCTCCAAGGACTAGCGATTGAAAATACCCAGCTCTGCTGCTCTCCGAGGACTTGGTGTTGGAAAATTAAGGAATTCTCCAGGCCTTGTCCCGTCCTTTACTCAAACCCTTTCTTGGCTCTAAGCCTTTTCTTCAACTTTTATTCTAAATGGGATTTGTTACTGAAAATTGGAACAGCAAGCAAGATGAAGAGAAATAATAATATTTTAAGTAAATATTTAAAAAATCACCTAAGAAAGAGTTATATTATTTTTCTAGTCATATGTGAGTCTATGTACTTTGTGGTGTGCTTGGATCTTTACTCATCCACCTCACGGATATTTGTTTGTAAAGAATACTCTCTTAGACAAGAGCTAGTCTAATCTTTTGAAGACATTTAAAAAGCAAGTGGCCATAACCCATAAGTATATGAACAGGTAGCTCAGAGCCAAGCTACTTCAACTCCCAAAGCTGAATTTGTAATAGAAAATTGTCAAAAATTTTACACTCAGCACTTTACAATAAACTCAAACATTTCAGTGTTGTACCAGAAGAAGCTTTAGAACATTTAACTTACCATCTGCAACATGGTCAGGTATCGTTTCCACCAAAGATACTTCTGAATCCATGGGCCAAATGCAGTTAGCCCATAGTATGAGTACATAATCACATGAATGAAGGAATTCAGCTGGGCTCCGAAAAATGCTTTAAAAAAAAGAGGAAATTACAAGGTATAGAAAATTTTATTGGCCAATAAACTATTTGGGTATAAAACAAATGAGCCTACTTTATTTCCTAACACTTTATCTTGAGTAAAAATTAGGAATAAAAGTTGTAAAATAGTATTATTGAAAAGCTTTCTCTTCAGATCATGCTAGATATTTTTAATGTTTATACTCAGGCTTTTAACGTATAAAAAATGGACGTTCTTCAAATGCAAAGGATTTTCAAAATAGTGAGTTTTCAAGTCGGGTACTCTAGTACTTCAAGCGGGCCCCAATATAGAATTACCTATATTATTTTTCATCCTATTATTCTTGTCAGGGGGCAGGGGGAGTGTAATCAACATATAATGGTTTAATAAATTTTCAAATGTTTAATTATTGCCTTTAGATGTGCCAATATAAATACCTATAAAAATATTTCTTAGGCTTCTAAATCATTTTAAATGGAAAATAGTGAAGTGAACTGTACTATAATGACTTGCACCATGGGTCCTCATCAGAGGAATGTAAATCATCTTCAATCTATAGGCATCTAAAAAGCTAGAGGCAGATCTTAGCTAAACTATGAATTCAGATTATATTTAACATCAACAAAGCAATATACAGTAGATCCTAGGGTTATGTTGGAGATCCGTTCCTATGGCACAACGTAAATCGATTTTCGGAACCCACCTACATAAGCTCCTATGTCATTCACATGGGGCATATACAGAGCAGTGATGAAGTGAAACATTTAAAAAAATTTCAAAAGAAAGTTAATTCCTGACCTTTACTTGTGGTAAATAATAAAACACATAAAGCACACATGTGCATATGTCAAAATGACAGAACGTTTTTATAAATAAAATAGCAATTGAAGGTTCATGCAAGAACGGGCCTTCCTTCCCCTGGCTGCGAGAACCGCCTTCACTCTGGCCCGGAACCGCCTTTCTGCCTTCCCACACTGCCCAGAGGCCAGGAGCAGCTGGGGTGATGCAGAACTCTAGAGTCTTCGCCATAGCGACAACACAAGCATCCCATCCCATCCTGGCTGCTCTGTGCCTGCATATGCAAATTAACCCACTATTTTTTGCTGGGTTAATTTACATACTCACTCCTGGTTGGCTGGTGGGCATTGTGAAGGTATGGTCAATTAGCATGTTACTCTTTTATTAGGTAAATGGGAGATGGTGATGTAACCACGAAACCAAGTACATCGAATCCAACATAACCCAAGGACTGTCTGTATAATTTCCTTTGGGTAAGAATCAACAGGCTGATTTAAGGCATATTTTAGAGCAGGAGTGAGCTCTTGGCTTGAACTGGAATGGAACCTACAGACTGAGAAGCTATCTCTTGATATCCTTTGGATGAAAACTATTAGAACTACTCATCAAAATATTATTTTCTCCATTTATAATTATCTTATGCTCATCTCTAGAGCAAATCTTTAGTTTTAAAGAAGTCACAGGCAAAAAGCTAAAGCTTTACTTTCTCCAAATCTCTTTATAATGAAATTAATACAGAAATAATCATAAAAGCAAGTTAAATTATGGACCAACTCAAATTTCCAGGTTTTCATTACTTTCCACTCAACATATTTACATAATTTAATAAATGCAGATATGTTTCTGGAAATTCTCACCTTGTCCCCCTGCGACCCACTTAATTCCAATCCACCACAATGTAAACATTGTACAGTGATGATATACATGAAGAAAAGAGACTTGGTTGTTTTTCTTCCTTAGGATAAAAAACACTGTGTCCAAATACTCAATTCCTTTAGATACAAAGTACCACCACAGAGCAGCAGCTATCTGTATAAAGAAAGAAAAGGCATATTACTGATACCGTCATATCGTTTTCTACTCCTTGTATAAGTCCTGAATAATTTTCACTACACAAAATGTACAAGAAATGAAATCCTTTTTACTTAAGTAAGTGTGAAATCTAGGCATCTATCCATGGGGGGGAAATGAGAAAGACAAGAGTCCAAATCTAATTCCACTCTGTACTAACAATATGGAAAAAATTTCATGTGCTGGATCCACGTAGTACCAAACTGCTGTCGTACCAAGAGCAGTAAATACATTCACATTGCTACGTTTTTGAATTTGGTAAAGAAACTGAGGTATTTACTTTGTAAAGGTACATTGCACTTCAATTGTTCATGCTTAGTCTATATTATACTTCATATTCCTTTAAGTACGTTTATGGATAACAACCAGTCTCTGTTAGTGTGTCTCTCTCTACCTCTCCCCCACCACCCCCCCTTCCCTCACACACACACTTTAACACATACAACAAAGTACCTAATCACAGAAGTCTGCATTAGGCAGTAAAATCTTTAAAATGGTAGATTAAAATAAACAGAAACAACAAACATTTCCTAGGTCATTAATGTGACCCTGCTTACATAGTTAAGTCTTTTCTTTGAGGGGCTCTAATTAAGACACCAGATGGTACAGAAAGATTACTCTACTGCTGAGATTAAGGAGCCAGGGATCCATGAGAGGTGACCTCTGTATATATGTTTTAAAACATTTTAAAGAGTTCTATTATAATAGAAGCCTAAACTCAACTTTTTATGTCAAGTACTTTTTATGATATGTGCTCCAGGGAGTACATAACTGAATAAACCTTTGTGTGTTCAGGCACTGTCTAACACTTTCATTCATAAGCTTGGATGTTTTAGAGGTAATAGATCCCTTCCTCATTTTATCCCTGCACCTGTTGATGTATCACAGGATTTTGGTTGTTTGTTTTTTCCTTTGAAAAACAAAATTACATAAAGTGTGGGCCAAAGAGAAAATAAAGCCTTTTATTTACAGATTGAGAATTATTCACTGAATTTGCTTGAGTAATAATATGGTTAAAATATAGTTAACTACTCACAGTAACACATATATTTAATATTCACTATTATGTTAGTACCTTAAAATAAAGTAACCATTTTGGCATAGTAAACTTTATCTATAAGGTAAAATATAATGTCTTATCCTCACACACCCCCCCCCCAAAAAAAAAAAAAAAAAAAAAAAACAGGGCCTCTAAATTAGCCACAATTTATGAATAGTAATAAATAATTCCTATCTTTTATTTGTAAACTGTATTAGATACCTTTGAATAGCTATATCAAAGTGAAAAGTGATACTTCTTGGCTTCATAACAACAAATACAAAAACAAGTCACTAAGTAAAATATTTATTCTACTACATCTAATAGTAGGAGGAGGAGAGACAGGGAGGAAAATGTCACATGCCATCTGTTGAGAATCTCTGGTTCTTCCTCCTCCTAGATTACAGTATCACAATAGCTAATTTTTTGAAGAAGTGACTGGTTATGCAGGCTAGGACTGTACTTTCACAATTACCAGGGCAGTATTTTAAAACTTTATCCTAAAAATATTAGTTTGTTGTTTTACCCAAGGGGTTTTTCTATTATAAGTGCAGTCCTAAAAGAAAGCAAGTTAAACACTTTCCTTTTCTTTTTCCTGAGAAGATTCTCTCACAATATGGTTATCAGAAAAAATTTTTTTTTTCTAGCCAACAAATCTAAATAAAGTACTCTCCGCATTCTTTTCAGTCACACCACAGGTCTGATTTCCTTGCTAACCATTTGTTTCATGACTACTGTTTGCCTCTCCCCCTCTTCACAAGAATGTCAACTCCATAAAGCAGGGTTCCCCTGTCTTTTCCGTGTCTTCAGTGCCCCTCACACTATCTGCATATTGCTATTCAGTACCCATGTTAAAGGAATAAAACAAATTACGACAGCCAACTTATGTGCCGATTTTTTTCATCGGCACATAAGTCTTCTAATAAGGAAATGACGGCAAGGACATATCATGGTAAGTACATTTAAAGCAGTGTGATCTTGGATCTTGATGAATATTGCTATTTATATTATCCAATCCCAGTTCCAAAATGTTAGTGTTTTCAAGGGAAGCTACTACATATCACACTATTACTACATATATTACATGTAACATAAAATGTATTAATATGCTTACATGTTTTATGTATTTATATCTTTAAATATGAACCACAGAACACAGTTTGATAAATACTTAATAAAATAACTATAGTTTTTTTCCATTTGAGTAAAATGGTAAATTTATTAATGTAGATTATTGGGAAGTAAAATATGATAACATTCTATTACTATTGGTTTATTTTTCTGCAAATATAACAAAAACTAGTTTATATCTATACAAGTTGTGCTATACTTAATTTATTAAACATTACATAGTTTATAAAACACTTGTTTTTCCTCAAACTTTCTTAACAAAAAATTAGAATCTCTTTATGAATTTCTATTCTTGACCAAAAACAGCAAACATCTAAAATTTTTACATTAAGCATAGAACTTTTTTTTAAAGTACTGCAATCTAGTAATCCATCATGTAATCATACTCACACACCAAATGAAAAACACTGTAGGTAAGAAAACAGATTTTTAATTATGTACTTTAAAAAAATAGCTTTATTGACACAAAACAATCCAGTACACTTCTAACACTATATAAAAGTATGTTTTTCACAGACTGGGGACTATAAAATTAGATTCTCTTTAACTGATTAAAAGTTAATGTACTTACCCTGACTTCATTAACATCATCAGAATAATCCACACTCTGGCAAATATAGCTATATCCTGCTCTGTAGGATGCTGTGAATAACTGAAAAAAAAGGGAATAATATTTGTAGTCAAGTTTTAGTAGACACAGCATTTAAGAGCCCTGAATACAATATGCAATCTTTGAAATTATTTTTAAAAGTAATATTACCTATAATATTTCAAATGCATTAAACATTTAATGTGTTAGAATTTTTACAATTTACTGTCTTAATTTATTCTGAAATTTAGAATAAATTAAAAATCACATGTCACTTTTAGACTAAGACATTAATTCTATCTACTTCATAATATTAAGAGAAATTTTGATTGACCATGCCTCAGATCTAAGAGTTATACTGATTTTTATTTTTTTTAATATATTTTATTGATTTTTTACAGAGAGGAAGAGAGAGAGAGAGAGAGCTAGAAACATCGATGAGAGAGAAACATCGATCAGCTGCCTCTTGCACACCCGCCACCGGGGATGTGCCCGCAACCAATGTACATGCCCTTGACCAGAATCGAACCCGGGACTTTTCAGTCCGCAGACCGACGCTCTACCGCTGAGCCAAACCGGTTTCGGCTGATTTTTATTTTTAATCTCAAATGGTTTGTATCTAACCAATTAGGTAAAAATGTTTTTTTTTTTACCAAGTTGAGATTCCATAGCCTAAGCTGTCAATTAAAAAATTTGCTAGTGCCCAGAAAAGTATACAATGATTAGTAGCAATAGTTGTATAACAGTGAACTCATTTTACCTTCAATCCAAATTACAATGATATTATATAATAGGATTTAATTTGAAATTGGTATTTTACATCTGCATAGTTTGATCAGTCATGAACCTGAAGCTGCTGAGTAAGAATTATAAATAAGTATGTGCAACTATTTACTGAGTAGTTAATATGTACTAAATTCTATGCAAAAGTTACTTCACTTTTATCTCTGATACCCAAAAGGTAGGTGTTTTCCCCATTTAATGGGAAAATGAGTCTCAGAAAAGTTAAATAATTTCCAATGTCAGAACAACTCATAAGGTTTACTTTAGAACCCAGTCTGCCTACTTCAAAATTTCCTTTTAGACACTTGTCCAATACCTTATGTATGTTTTATATTTTTGTTATCCAAAAATGAAAAACGTCAATAATATAAAATTTATTTTTAGAGCAAGCATGTCAAACTCGTGCCCCCGGGCCGCATGCCTCATTTATTTGGCCCATGTTAGCCTTTGAGCTTGACATGTTTTCGAGTAACTAAGTTACCTTGTGGTACAATGTTACAATGATGGTTTTACATATTCTCTTTTTTTAATTTCCAATAACCCAGGGGAATTATAAAGTGAATTTAGTAAACGTACCTCTCTGAAGATAAAAAGATTAAGCAAAACCATCCCAAAATTATAGAGTATGAGCACTAAGCGCATCTGAAAAGGTTCTCTGGCTTTCATCCACTTTGGGCCCAGCCACACGAACAGCAGATAAAGAGTACTTATACAAAGCGTAGGCCATGGAGACTGCATTAGAGGCCAATTTTCCACACGTTTATCTACAGAGAGAACAAAATAACAGAAAATTTATCAAACAAATGTTTTATAAAATGAATTTTTTGGGAATTGTTTTTCAATTTGGTTTTCCTAAATTGACCAAATACAGATCGTTCTCCTGTGAGTCCCAACAAAAATACATGACATAAAAACCAAAGAAACAAGACTGAGTCTCGTGAGCAGCTTTTGAAAATGAAGTTTTGTTACATATGGCACACATTATATTTTACAGAGAACCTAGAGAACAAAGACAAGACATAAAGCTCACTAAAAATATAGAAAATACTTGGGATTAGATGAGAAATTAATGAGACACTTCATAGACAGAAAAACACTGTAAGGAGAGACATGTCTTCCATATTAAACGTGAAATTTATCAGTGCAGTTTGGAAGCTGCTCCGTCCTATGTCTAAGACAGGAAAGAATTAGTACACTGAAGAGGGGTGGAGCAATGAAAGCCAGTTCCTGGGCTATTTCTGGATACTGAAGACAAAAATATAGGTATATTTGAGACATTAACTTAGAGGTCATTACAAGTCTATAAATTATTTAAATGAGAATCATCATATTCAAGACATTTTTCTAAAATTTTCCTTGAGAACATGAATCTATTTTTTTACCCATAAACATAACCAATTTATAGCTTTTCTCTAAAGTTATAAATCATTTACCTTACAGATGTATAAAAATATACATATAAAATACACTACTTCATTGAAAATGAATAAAGTGTCTTTACTATTTAAACATATATCCATGAATCAATTTTACAATAGTTCTGACAGAAGTAAAATATTTCTGCCAAGACCAGTTTGGCTCAGTGGATAGAGTGTCAGCTTGGGGACTGAAGGGTCCCGGGTTCGATTCCGGTCTAGGGCATGTACCTTGGTTGCGGGCATATCCCCAGTAGGGGGTGTGCAAGAGGCAGCTGATCGATGACTCTCTCATCGATGTTTCTAACTCTCTATCTCTCTCCCTTCCTCTCTGTACAAATCAATATAATATATTTTAAAAAAAAGAAGTAAAATATTTCTAAGACAAGCATGAAAATGAAATATGTGGTTAACAAAAATTAATTTTCTAATACATTTTAAGAAGATATTGAAATTAAATTTTATATTTCTAAAATTTAAAGAGCATTTAAAAGGTGTGAAACTAATATCTAGTTTTTTCTTGGTAATGCAAAGTATCTCTATGTTCTATTTTCAGAATATTATATACTTTTAAAATAGTAAAAAAAAAAAAATTCTATCTTTTAGCCAGTTCCCAAAGCTAACCAAAATAAATTTAATTTACTTGCTCATTATAATGTCCAGTATTTTAAACTGTCCATTTTAATAAAACTATATATTAGATCATTATATTTCAAAATATTTTACTCAAAACTAAATGAATGTTTTTATATACTATCAAGAGAAAATAAGATTCTAGACATAAAACACAAGTGGAACAATATTTAATCACAGTCTCCAAAGTCAGGAAGTAATTTAATAATTATAGTTTCTACAAAATAAGAGTTGCTATAAAGATAGAATAGTGACTTGGAAGAAAAACAAATATGAGAACAAGAAAAACTAATTTTATTTCATAGCTTTTAGGAAGCCTATTATCTCTCTAGTCATGGAAATTATGGTTCTTAAATCAAAACACATTCCAGACTTAAAATGAACTAAAATACTTAAAAGGACAGGAGAGAGAGTAAATCTCTCAGAGGAGGGGAATGGTTTTTTGTTTGAAGACACTGTGTCACAATGGTCCTATCAGTGATTGTACACTTTTCCTTAATGTTGTCATTTCTTTGCTTATATCTTTCTATGCCAAAGGCTCCCTTAAAACATGGTAGTACTTATCTATTTAGATCTTTATTTTTCCACATTACTGAAAAGTTTATTTTTCTACATTATAGAAAACCTTAAAACCTCTCTACTTCAGGTGACTAAAGAAGGAGTTGCTATAGTATGATATTCTTATCCATAAACTTGAAGGCAGGTACTATTTTTTCCATGAGATTGAAACAAATAGCGAAAGGACTGCTTTAAGGAATAATTTAACATCATAGATCATTGCTCACTCTAATCCATATAAAGAATTCCTACTGTCTTCATAGGATGTTCTGAACAATAAGTTAAAATTTTTTTAAAAATTAGAGAAATAGGTCTCAAAATTTCCAGAAATCAAGAATAAATAAAAATGTATTCTCTTTGATATATACTGTGAGTAACCTGTACCATTCTCTCATTCAACAGAAAATTTTAGAGAATACTAATAATAAGAGAGAGAAGTAAGAAGCTGAATATCTGACAATATAAAGCTCTAACAGAGGCCAACAGAAGAGAGAAAAGGTGGAGAATAAATAGATATGACAGAAATCATGCAAGACTCTATCAGTGAACAGAGTTTTCATGGCAGCTCTGCCATGTGCATAGGGCACAATGTCTTCATGTCCTTTATCTATAAAACCGGATATAGGGGCAAACTAGATTAGTGCCTCTCTAACTTGAATGAAAAAGAAAAAGAAAAAAAAAAAGAATCACCTGGGGAGGGAGGAGATGCTAAAATGCAGTCTCTGACTCAGTAAGGCTAGGATGCAGCCCATTTTTATGAAGACTCTGCATTTTTTAGAAAGCTGCAACTGAGGCTATGCCAATATTCCATGGACCAACTTTTAAGTACCAAGAAACCAGGTGATCCCTTAAGTGTTTGTTGTTTTATTTAACTTCTGAAAGTTGTTACTTTTTAAAATAATAATTAGAAGGAAGAATGAAATTGAAGGTAAGGAAAAGCAGATCAAGAAAATAGGCAGTTTTCCCTGACCAGGGACCCACTTTGCACTGCCGAAGTACCTGCACATATTATGTTCCATTAGAGCACTCACCACCTTGTTCAGTCACCTGCCTTTAAAATGTAATCTCCCTGAAGGCAGGGGATGGGTCTTTCATTCTTACATTGCAAGGCCTATCAAGGAGTCTAAATATTTATTTAATGAATAAACAAAGAGTGGATTTTTTTCAGATCAGTCCTTTATTCTCTATCCCTTCAGTGAAATCCAACTGTACAGTTACTGATATTCAAGGTTTCTTCAGTGTACAACCACCCCTTCCTACAGCTATTGCCAGATACTCCTCTATGTCGGTACACAATTGTAACCTTAAGTTAACACCTCAACCAGGTATCTAGTGAGTACATGTGTGCCCTATGAGGCTCAATGTCTTTAATGCTTTCTCCAAGAGAAAAAAGGCAATGCACTTATTTCTTTGCCCAACCAAGTCATGCATTCATGCAGCAACCACTTAACAAACCCTGTGTTCTACCTATAGAAAGGCACATTTCACACCAGATCCTTCTCAAATTAGTCCTTTCAGCTCTCAAAAATTCCACTTCCAATGACTATTATGAAAGTTGTAGTAATTGTCAGCGACCTGAACAACAGCATAACAATTCCCATCCTATGATATTTCCATGAAATTTCCTGTCTTTACAGTTATTTGCGTCCTTCTGAATTTATCGATACTTGCATTAATATTTCATTTAGTACTCGAACAACATTCAAATGCCCTATGCTTCTTCTATATGCTCCCTTTTCCACTAAAAAAGGACTGAGTGCATCACAATAGTGTTATACAATGACATGAAAACTAATTATTACTAAGAGGTTCCCTCAAGTCTTGAACAACAACAAAAAATTGTAAGGAAATAAAACAAACAAGGAAAATAATGAGTACTGAAGCTTATATAATTTGTATTACCTAAACATAATGAATTATCAAGAAGGTAGAGAGAATAGCCAAAGAACATATATACACAGCCCATGGCCACAGACAAAGGTCTGGTGAAGGAGAGGGGAGGAGGTGGGCAAAGAGGGAGAAAAATGGGGGACATCTGTAATAGTGTCAACAATAAAAATAAAAATTTAAAAATTACATTATCCAGTTTTTCATTAACTCAAATGTTTAAATAACTTAATTATAAATTATTTGCCCTATTCATTTAAGTTACACTGAATCCAAATATAGATTATGCATATTAGAGTAAAAGAATATATTTTTCTAGTATGTTGTCAATATCCTAATCTTACACAGTTATGGGTGGGATCCAATACCAATACCATGAATTTATTAGTGGCAGGGGGAATTCTATTTAAAACAAACAAACAAACAAAAAACCCTGTTCCATGCCGAAACTGGTTTGGCTCAGTGAATAGAGTGTCAATGTGCAAACTGAAAGGTCCCAGGTTCCATTCCAGTTAAGGGCATATACATTGGTTTCAGGCACATCCCCAGTGGGGGGTGTGCAGGAGGCAGCTAGTCAATGTTTCTCTCTCACTGATGTTTCTAGCTCTCTATCCCTATCTCTTCATCTCTGTAAAAAATCATTAAAAATATATTTTTTTAAATAAAAAAATTAAAAAAAAAAACACCTTGTCCCTCCTGCCACCACTATAGTCAAATTCTGTCATCAAGGAATATCAAGATTCAAATGACTTTTATGTAACATTCTTGGAAATTCTGTTTGAAAAGTTTTTTTGGAGGATGTCTATATGGCCCACATATCGATATAAAAATTGTTTGGCTCATTTTGATACCATATAGTATTAATAGGCTTATTAATATGTGTATGCCTTTGTGTCTTAGTGATTTTGCTCTTATTTTGAGCTTATCCTATATAATAAAGAGCTAATATGCTAATTAGACTGGACAGAGGAGACCTTCCGGAATGACCTTCCGGATGACCTTCTGGAACGACCAGTGGAGGCGGGCCACAAGGCAGCTGCTGCTGCAAGGGCCTACTCTTACATTATTTTCATGCATCAGGCCTCTAGTTTACTAATAATTTCAAGTCTTTCACATTGCATGTTAAACCTTTATCTAAACTAGAGGTGTAGAACTTTAGATTTAGAAATGATCCCTTTATCTTAAAAATGAAATTCAGGGAGCTTAAGAGACTTGCCCAAGAAGGCAGAGCAATAGCCTCATGTATCCTGCCAGCTATTCCAACACCACTC